GAAAAAATGTTCAACATCACTTGTAATCAGGGAAATGCAAATCAAAACTACCATGAGATACCATCTCACACCAGTGAGAATGGCACATATTAAAAAAACTAGCAACAACAATGTTGGCGAGGTTGTGAGAAAAAGGAACTCTTGTGCACTGTTGGTGGGAGTGCAAACTGGTCCAACCACTATGGAGAGCTGTGTGGAGATTTCTGGACCTACTAAACATAGAGCTTCCATATGATCCAGCAATTCCACTCCTAGGTATTTACCCAAAGGACACAGAAACATCAATTCCAAAGAGCACCTGCACTCCTATGTTTATAGCAGCACTGTTTACAATAGCTAAGCTTTGGAAACAACCCAAATGCCCAAAAATAGATGACTGGATCAAGAAGATGTGGTACATATATACCATGGAATATTACTCAGCATTCAAAAAAGATAAACACATGCAATTTGCAGCAACATGGATGGCGCTGGAAGGGATCATGCTCAGCGAAATAAGCCAAAAAGAAAAAGAAAAATACCGGATGGTCTCACTCATAGCAGGAATCTAGAAAACTTAAATAAGGGACCAGGAAAATGAATATAAGAAAGTGAAAATCAAAATCAACAAAAAAACTATGAACCAGAGACACTTTTTGGGGGGTGGGGGGCGGGAGGGGAAGGATTGGGGTCAGAATGGGGCGTTTGCAATTGTATGGGGGAATATAAAAATAAAATTTAATATTTAAAAAAAAAAAAAAAAAAGAAAATTTAAAAAAAAAAAAAAAAAAAAAAAAAAAAAAAAAAAAAAAAAATAAAAATACGAAGTCCAAATTTTGGATTTGACTGACTCCATCCTTGTGATTTTTTTTTTTAAAACATGTTCTTCTAGAATAAACATTATTAAAATGGCCATCCTACCAAAAGCAATATACAGATTCAATGCTATTCCAATCAAAATTTCAATGTCATTCTTCAAAGAAATAGAGTAATTATTGATGGAATTCATATGGAATCACCAAAAACCCCGAATAGCCAAAGCTCTCCTGAAAAAAAAAGAAGGGAATGGAGGCATCACACTCCCAGACTTCAAACTATACTACAAAGCCATAATCATCAAAACTGCATGGTATTGGAACAAGAACAGACATACAGACCAATGGAATCGAATAGAAAATCCAGAAATAAACCCACAGATTTATGGTCAACTAATCTTTGACAAAGGAGCAAAGACTATGCATTGGAGCAAAGAAAGTTTGTTCAATAAATGGTGCTGGGAAAACTGGTCGCTACATGCAAAAGAATGAAGCTTGACCACTACCGCACACCATACACAAAAATCAACTCAAAATGGATTAAAGAACTAGACATAAGACCTGAAACCATAAAATACATAGAAGGAAAGATAGGCGAAACACTACGTGATATTCACATCAAAGACATCTTTACAGACACATCACCCAAAGCAATGATAGTGAAGGCAAAGATAAACAGCTGGGACTACATCAAATTAAAGAGCTTCTGCACAGCAAAATAGACAATAACAAAAACAAAGAGAAACCCCACCAACTGGGAGAACATTTTTGCACACAACACTAATGATAAAGGACTGATCACAAAAATCTGCAAAGAGCTGATGAGACTCAACAACAACAAAGAAAATAATCCAGTCAAAAAATGGGCAGAAGAGCTAAAAAGAAACTTCTCTGAAGAGGAAATGCAAATGGCCAACAGGCATATGAAAAATGTTCAACATCACTTGTAATCAGGGAAATGCAAATCAAAACTACCATGAGATACCATCTTACACCAGTGAGAATGGCACATATTAAAAAAACTAGCAACAACAAATGTTGGCGAGGTTGTGGAGAAAAAGGAACTCTCCTGCACTGTTGGTGGGAGTGCAAACTGGTCCAACCACTATGGAGAGCTGTGTGGAGATTTCTGGACCTATTAAACATAGAACTTCCATATGATCCAGCAATTCCACTCCTAGGTATTTACCCAAAGGACACAGAAACATCAATTCCAAAGAGCACCTGCACCCCTATGTTTATAGCAGCACTGTTTACAATAGCTAAGCTTTGGAAACAACCCAAATGCCCAAAAATAGATGACTGGATCAAGAAGATGTGGTCCATATATACCACGGAATATTACTCAGCATTCAAAAAAGATAAACACATGCAATTTGCAGCAACATGGATGGCGCTGGAAGGGATCATGCTCAGCGAAATAAGCCAGAAAGAAAAGAAAAAGACCGGATGGTCTCACTCATAGCAGGACTCTAGAAAACTTAAATAAGGGACCAGGAAAATGAATAACTATAAGAAAGTGAAAATCAAAATCAACAAAAAACTATGAACCATAGACACTCTGTGGGGCTTAGGGGGTGGGAGGGGAGGGATTGGGTCAAAATAAGGGGGTTGCAATTATATGGGGAATATAAAAATAAAATTTATTATAAAAAAATAAATAAATAAATCTTTTTTTTTTAAAAAACATGTTCTATTTCCTATGAATTGGTAGTTTGCATCTAGAGGCTTTTGATGAAATTCATTTTGTTACTGTTTTTGGCTAGGATACATTGTCTAGATCCTCTGTTCCCCTTAGGGATTGCAATGATAATTTTTCTAATTCTTTTATTCCTTTGAAGTTTCTTAACTGGATTTTTCCTGCAAAATAGATTGTTTGTGCCCCTTGAAATATAGTGATTGTAAAAAGGATAGGGTAAAGGCTTCATTTTTCTTCCCAGTTTTCATAATAATATGTGCCCTTGTGGGACTAGTAAGTTGTTTGCATTTGTTTGCTTTAAGTAACACTATGAACTCATGGATTTTTATATTTTATTTTAGGAGTCATTCTTTCAATGCTCACGTTTTTACAACTTTGACTAGTATAAACCCTTTCAAGTTAGTTCTGTCTTTCGACCTATCTCCTTGCTTTTTCACACAGCAATATATTTTAAACTTACCTTGAACTTTCCCTGAGCCATAACTAGAATCAGTCACCCTATTTCTCCAAGGACTCCTGTTTTGAGAAACAATCAAAACTGCAATGTGAGCACTAGGGCACTAATTACTGTTGACCCAACAAATTTGTCTCAATAGGTTTTAATAAGTACTCGATTTTGCCTGCTTTATTCTCATACACATTTTTCAAATTATTTGCATTGTTTCATTTTTTAAAATACATCTGTGCTCTCTTTTAAATTGAAAGCATCTTAACAGACAGGAATTATGTGCAGATCTTCCTTAACCTCTAATGAGGTTACATCCCAATAAACCCATGGTAAATTAAAAATATTCTAAGTTGAGGGGCCTCCCTGGTGGTGCAAGGGTTAAGACACAACCTATGAAGCTATCCGCAGTTGCTGCACAAGTTTGAGCACCGGCCAGGTGGCTACCAACATGGCACAGCAGACCTCTCCTGATTGCCCGCTGCTCCCCTCAGCAGTGTATTTCAGTCACTCTGCCTGTTCTGTTTCCCACTCTGTCTCTGGTGAATCTTCTCATCCCCCACACCTCAGCCTGTACCCCAGTTCTTGTATGAATAAATAAATAAATCTTTAAAAAAAAATACTCTAAATTGAAAATGGGAACTGCTGCTTACTGCCACTACCCAGTGTCAAGAGACCATAGTACCAATTTCTACTGAATGCATATCCCTTTCACACCACTGTAAGGTAAAAAATCTTAACTTGCACCATCATATAAGTTAGGGACTCTCTGTACATTTAATTTTGATGGTTGTAATAAACTCAGTGGTGAAATGAATAACACAAAGTAGCTTTGTTCATTGATAAGCATACATTTGTAAATGGGAATTGGAGAATAGGATAAGAAGTCATCTATTTCTGGTTATTTTCTTAATAAAATTCATTGAAATTTTTTTTTTTTAATAGAGGCATGTTTTATTTATTTATTTGTTTTGTTTTTTTGTTTGTTTATACATGCACTGGGTAGTCGCGGGGAGGGTGAGAGAATTCACCAGAGCCAGAGCGGGGAGCAGAGCAGGCAGAAGGACCGAAGTACACTGCTGAGGGGAGCAGCGGGCGGCAGGAGAGGTCTGCGCGCCATGTGGGACCCTCCTCTGGTGGCTGGGGAGCAGCCGGGGATCGAACTGGCGCCGCAGAGGCCGCGGGCAGCTTCGCAACCCAGCGCTCAACCGCTGCGCCACGGGGGAGGCCCTCATTGAATTTTTTTGTAAGAAAGGTATACTGAGATTTTAGAGCAATTTACTAAACAGTGCTACTAATGATGATCAAGTTACCTTTGGAATGACTACAATTCATAGCCTCAAAGCTGTATTATCTGGAAATTTTGTTCTTCGTTATAATAAAAGATAGTCTCTCTGATTTTCTAGAAAATGACATATATTTGGTTTAGGTGTTTTTTGGCTTGAATATAATGACTTAATGGCTGAGTTTAATGGCTTGGGAATTCAGAGTATCATAATATTACTGTAATCCATACTGTTTGTCTTTTTATCGAAGGAAGTCTTCTTAGGATCGTTAAAAGTTTTTATTTTGTTTACTTTTCTACCAGTTGGCATATAAATATATACTTAAGCATAAGAAGTTTTTCTTTAAAATTATTCTGTAGATCAGTTTCCTCACTAATACTTTGTGTTCAGTGTTTGTTAAATCCTATCTCTTCCTGTGCTTTTTCAAAGTATCAACTTGAGTAAAACTTTGTTTTTTCTTCTTACATATTACCTTACATGAGACATGAGAAGGTAATTAAAGGATTATTTCATTATTTAAAAGTTTTTGTAGTGATCCTCTAAAAGCAAGTGAGTATCCTATTAGTATCAAGAAGCAATAGAGTAAATACTATAGTTTGGTAGCCAAGAAATTTTATTATTCTCAGTTGAAATAATTGGTCTTGTCTTATCCCATATAAGTGCAGGGGAAAATGACATTTTTATCATAGCCTATAAAGAGGAAGTAATTTTTTTTTTAATTTTAGGGGCCTTTTTTTTTTTACCCTGAAATATTGGTCCTGGATTTTATTTTTGCTTTGTAGGCTGCAGAGCACAAGCTGAGAGTTGGGAAGAAGGGTTACTGTTACAGGAGAGCAACTCCATCTCTTCTGCCTTCCCTCCTTGAAGTCTCCAGCTACTGCTGCAAAGTATGATTACTTCCTTACCCCAGTCATAAGAATATAAGAAATATGTAGTTTCTGGATTAGACCACTGATCTATCCAGTGTAGAAGATTGTGTATGAAAGTTTCTCTGACATTGCTTATCATCATTAATGCTTATCTGTTAAAAGATGTTAGAAGATCTTGTGTGACAACGTAGTAGTAGTACTCTGGGACCCAAGAGATTAGGGATACCCTTACTCCTCATTATATCCTCTAACCTTTTATACACCTATCCTCTGCCTTTTTGTGTTTTCAACCTGTGTATTTTTCCACTTTAAGTAACTCTTTCTTGCCCTTGTTAAGGTTCGTATCTTCCATCAAAGGGTGTTAGGAAATCTCTGAATATTTAACCTGTTGAATATGTCTTTTTAACATTTCATACTTGGAAGACAGCATTATCTGCCAACTTGGGGATTTGTCTAGTCATTCTGTTTGGGTTTAGAAAATTGACACGTAGGAAATAGAGTAGATTTATATTATTTTAATGAACAGAGATTCATTTTCTTGAAAGAATAAAAGATATGCATGAGTGTCTTTTTAAACACAAATGGACATAAATTTATGTTTCATATATCATATATAGAAACAAAGTCTGGAATACAGAACTCAAGAAGCCATAGGGAATGGTTAATTTGGGTATTAGAGGAAAGTAAAGAATCTTTTACTTTTTCCCTTTAGACCTTTTGGTTCTTAAGAAATTAAAAATAATATGCTAACATTTCTTTCATTGTGAAAATGGCAGTTATAACTACCTTCAACATTTATTCTTACTCTTTATCTTTTTTAAATTTCTGTGTGCTTGAAAATCCATGGTAAATGAGTACAATATATTGTAGCATAATGTAATTAGAAAGTTGTTATAAACTTACTTTAAATGATTTGTAATATCTGTGGGGAGATCTGTAACAGTGTGTGAATGTTTACTATATGCTAGATAGAACACTGTTACTAAATGCTAGACTCTGTACTTATTTTAATATCTTGTATCTATTTTAAATGTAGTTTGTGTGTAAGAACTCCATTTTTCTTTTTTTACAACACTTCTTACAGATGTAAATGTTAATAGAAAAATATTTAAAAATCGAACAAAAGAATAAATGAAAAACAAATGTTTGCTTTCTCTTAGCCCTTCACCCTCCTCCAAAGTTAACCATGGTTAACTGGTTTCTTGTGTTTTATTCCTGGAAATATGTGATAAATGTTATAATCTGTCCACACCTATATATATTAATATAGTCCATGATTATATATGTGGGTATGTATGCGTGTTTAAAATCTCCTTCCCTTACTTACCTGACTCCCCTAATAATGTGTGGCTCATTCTCTAAACAACTCTGCAACTTGATGAGACCCCTAGATTTAGATGGTAAGATTCATGCTCCTTGCAATTTTATGTTCTGCAACAGGAATAATCCTTCAAACATAACAGCTGGATAATGTCACTCCCCAGCCTTTGCTCAAAACGCTTCAGGGCTTCCTTTTTCTCAGATAAAGTCCACCACCTTAACATGGCATATAAGACCTTGAATTGACCCTCTGTTCGTCTCTGATCTCTTTCTTTGAAACTGTTGAGTCATTCTGAACTTAATTTCTTAAATAGTTTATGCCCTCTCATCTGTTGTCTGCTTCCTCTGTCTTCATAATTTGGGATAACTTTTATTTTTTCTTCTTTTTAAAACTTTACAACAATTCTAGTTTTTATAAAATTCCACAGGTAAATAAAAATTTAAACAAATAAAGCAAAATACAATTAGGAACTTCACTTTTTTCCTAAGCATATAATATCTAAAATATACATATATACTTAAAAAAATGATCCCACTAGCTTGCTTGTTCCCTTTCCCTCAATAAGATTATTATAGGATTTATTTTTAATTTCTTATGATCAGAGTTATAAAAATAGTTTAAATAATCAGTCAGTTCTACAAAGTTGTTATGAAAACAATAGTCCAGGTTCTGGTTCCAGATAAATGGAGTAAGCACACTTCACCCTGTCTCTTCCACTGAATGCAGCTATAAAACCTGGACAGAATGCTTGGAGTGGCTATTTGAGGACTCTGAAAAGTAAATAGTAGGAGGCAGATTGGGGAAGAAGACCAGAATTCAAAGTACCACTGAAGCGGCGGTGAGTTTACCATTTTTTTCTTCCGGTATGCCCCAGCCTGAACTTAATGTAACCTGAAACTTGAAAGTGGTCATTAACATGGACAGAAAAAGGACCAGGAACATCCTCTAGTTCTGGCTCAAGGAACAGGAAAGGGGTCTCCTAATATTCAGAGAAAATGTGGCAGTCCTACATCTTTCTCTTTTTTTCTTCTTCTTTTTCATTTTCTTGTTCCCCAGGCCTCAAGCCTCAGTGAGGCTATGAGGCCTTAGCCTCATGGAGGTCTGAATCTCAGAGGGAGGGGAACCTTCCTCTCAGATTGGAGGAGCTATGGTTTCAAGAGAATGGGGCAAATCCCATTGCTTTTTTGCTCCCTCTGCTCTTCTGTTGCTTGGCCCTGCTGTGGGCTCAGTCATGAGAAGTATACTGCAGAGTGGTGTTAATGAAGCCTCGGCTTTCTTCTGAGAGGCTGGAAAAGGGGAACCCTAGGCTGCTGAAAGCAGTACAGTGAGGAGCTTGGGAATTAACTGCTTAAAGTTGCTTATGGACTTCTGAGCTGTGTATGCATAAATCTGATCATCCTATACAGCATACATAAACAAGAACTGAATTATGAGATTGACCACCCCCAAGTTCCAGACTGAAAACTGCAGGGGCAGTTATGAAACATATTCAGTATGACTGCAAAGTCATTGCAAACTGAATTAAAATTGGAAATAGAACCCACAGAAGACTGCTCAGAGCTTGAAGTGTTAACCCATCTGGTTCAGTTATTGGCTAAAACACTGACATTCTCAAGGAACTTAAAATAAGACTCAGCCCCTTAACATAATATCCAGAATGCCCAGAGTACAATCTAAAATCACTTACCTTAAAAAATACCCAGAATACTTTCATTCACATGGGAAAATAGAGAACACAGATGCCGAGGCCAGTGCCAAGATCACACAGATGTTAAAATTATCTCAAAGAGACTTTAAATCAGCTCTTTTGATCATGTTCCAGGAATGAACAGGAAGATAGGAAGTCTCAACAAAGAAATAGAAGACATAAAGAAGAACTAACTGGAAATTTTAGAACTGAGAAATAAAGCAATAGAAACGAAAAACTCACTGGATGGGCTCAATAGCAGAGTGGACTTGACAGATAATAAATAAATACACAGAGTCTCAGGGATCTAAGAGATAGTATCACAATATCACAAGGTGAAACATTTATGTCATCAGAGACAGATTGAGAAGAAAACGAATGTGATGCAGCAAAAATATTTGAAGAAATAATGATATATAGGTTGGAGGAAGAAATAAAATTGTTCCTATTTGTATATGACATGATGGTATGGTATATGTAGAAAATCCCAAGGAATTCACAAAAAAAAAATTCCTAAAATGACTTAGCAAGAGATTCAAGGAAACCCAAAAAAGCAATCATTTTTTATTTATTTTAAAGATTTATTTTTTAAATTTATGCATACAAGAACTGGGGTATAGGCCAGAGATGCAGGGAGTGAAAGGATTCACTGGAGACAGAGTGGGAAGCAGAACAGGTGGATTGATTGAAATACGCTGCTGAGGGGAGCAGCGGGTGAGACAGGAGAAGTCTACTGCACCATATGGGTTAGCTCTTCTGGCCGGGGATCAAACTCATGCTGCAGTGGCTAGCAATAACTTGATAGCGCTGAGATATTAACCTATGCGCCACCAGGAAGGCCCCAAAAGCAATCATTTTAATAGACTAGGGTAAGCAGTTGAAAACTGAATTTTAAAATGACCATTTACAGTAGTGCTCCCAAAATGAAATACTTAGGTGTAAAAGTAACAGATCTTTGTGCTGAAAACTATAATATTGTGACTTTAAAAAAAAAATCAAAGATTTAAATAAATGGAGGAACATAGTCATGAATTTTAAGATTCACCATAGTAAAGATTCTCATTCTTCCCAAAATGACCTATAGATTTAACATTAATACCAAATACCAGTCAGCACTGTTTGTGTTTATAGGGAAGCTGATTCTAAGATCTATAGACAAATCAAAGACCTAGAATAGCCAAAACAGTTTTGAAAAAGAGAAATAAATTTTGGAAAAATTAAGCTACATGATTAAAAAAAACAAAAACTAGGTACAAAACTACCATAATAAGACTGTGGAATTGGCAAGGGGATATACATAGAGATCAGTGGAATAGAATAAGACCTCCAAAAGCAGACCCACAGCAATATTACACTACTTTTTACAAAATCATAAAGTCCTCTTAGTAGAGGAAGAACTGTCTTTTCAATAAGTGATGTTGGCTAATCCAGTTGTTCCAACAGTTGGCCAGCCATAATAGATAAAATACCTTGACCTAGACCACCCACATTACCTAAAAATTAATTTAAAAGTTAACATGAATCTAAATGTAAAATATAAAGCTGTAAAACTTTCACAAAAAAAAAAGTGGGAAAAAATCTTTTTGACCTGGATGAAGGCAGTTAGCATGATACCAAAAGCAAGCTTTATAAAAGAAGGTGATACATTGGGTTTCATCAAAATGAAAACTTTGCTGTGACCTGCAAAGAATATGTAAAGAACTCTGAAAACTCAACAGTAAGAAAACAATACAATTAATAACGAAAGGTTGTCAAAGAGTATATGGAGTGGCAAGTCAGTGCATGAAAAGCCATTAGGGGAATGTAAATTAAAATGATGGAGAGTTGTCACTGCCCATCCCTTTGAAATGTTAAACTGTTGACAATACCAAGTGCTGATAAGGATGTGGAACTACTAGAACTCTTACACATTGCTGGTAGGGACACAGAATGATACAATTTCTCTGGGAAAAAAATTGAACATGTACCTACTGTATGTGAATATGAATAGGTATTACCTAGCCATCCTATTCCTAAGCATTTACCATGGAGAAATAAAAATTTATGTTCATACAAAAGCAGATACTTGATATTTATATCACTTTTTGCTCTTAGTTGCCAAAAACATGTCCTTTAAACAGTGATTGGATAAATCAGCTGTGGTATATCCATACGATGGACCACTATTCTGTAATAAAGAAGAATGAACTACTAACACACACAACTACTTTTAATTTCTTTGTCTTAGGGAAATCTCTATAGGAACTTCTTACTCTGTCCCAGTTAGGCCTGACTACTCTCTAGACTCACAACTATCATATAGCGAGTAATATAGATTACTCTATATTCACAACTCTCATAATCTTCCCAGGGATTCTCTTTGCTTCTCTTTTATGTCATATGCTTTATCGAATCTCTTTTTTGTTTATTCTCATTTTAGTGAAACACCCCTCACTTAGCTTACTGAATAAAGGGTGCATGGAAATAATATTTTTGAGACCTATCTTGGGTATCTGAAACTTTTGTTATTTTTTATCCTACCTTCACATGTAAATTATGGCCTAATTGGGTACAGAATTCTGAATTGACGATTTTGTTTAACTAATTTGCCTTGAAATTTTCACTGTAGCAGTTGAGAATTATAATTCTATTATAATTCTTGTTACTTTGGCAACTTGTAAGTTTTTCTTTGCCCCTAATATTGAGCAATTTCATGATGATATACCTTAGTATGGGTGTGTTTTCCTCTAGTATATCAGGTTCTGTCCTTTATTGAAATGCATGATTTGAAGGTTTTTCTTGGGAACTTTTCTTGATGGTGGTTTCAACCCTTGTGTTTTCTCTGTCTTCTATTCTGGACCTCCTGTGATGCAGATATTGGACCTTTCAGAGTGATCTCTACTTTTTAACCTCTTTTCTCCTATGTTTACATATATTTGGTCCTATGCTTTTGTAAAAGATAAGTACCTTTTAAAAGTAGAAGGTGAAATTGTGTTCATTTTATCCACAAAATCCTGGTAGTTTTCAGTTGGCCACTGAAAGAGGGCAGAGAGTCTTGTTAAAGTGATGAAATTGGCTGTGAAAAGTTTGGAAATTTTCTTCTGCCAGTGAATTTTCGTCCTGATGAGCTTACTAGAACCTAAGGAATTGTTAGATGGGCATCTTTGTGAGAAATGATGAGTCTTTGTTCCTTTGTTACTGCCTAAATTATTTCCCCCCAGGGACTTGTTTTAGAGGACATCTCTTCATTTGGTATTAATAACATGTTAACTCAGTCAAGCTCCAAGCTCTGTGATGCATTCTAATCCAATAAATCTATTCCTGTGTAATCTGTTCTTTGTTCTCATAACCTATAGATTTATTTTACACTATCCATATTAATTAGTATTTTATAATAAGTCCATTTTTTTCCAATAAGACTGTAAATTTTATGAGGACAGAAACTAAACCTTTTGTTTTTTCACTTCCCATGTCTTAGATATTTCATGAGTTGCTGTTATTAAATGGTGTGTTTTGTTTTGTTTATTTTGGTGGGAATGAGTAACTTTACAGAGTATTTAGGTAAGAAAGGTAAAACTTGTTTTGTTGTATCCTTAGCAGTTCAGTCATCCAACTTTGCAGAATCCCAATATTTGCTAATTTATACTTGACCAAAATTTGTTTTATGAATTCCAGCTCATTCCTATTAGTGGTTTTGGTACTTTAAATTTTATTAGCAGATGGCTCATTTATTTAAAAAGGAAAATGAGTGATACTCCCTTTTCATTGTTTTATTTGATCAACAAGCCATGTAAAAATTACATTTCTATGGCATTGTTACTCTTACTAATATATAATGCTGTAATACAGACCTACTACAATACCACCCCACAGTCATATTTTTTAGGCTCTTGAATTGAAAGCAAGAATAGTAGCTGACCAAATGACACTGTAAAAACAAAGAGATTTGTTAGGTTATACCATTTAGAGTATAGCATGTCTGTTCCTTTACAAAAAGACTTTGGGCAGTTAGAAGATGTTTGCAAATAACACTTGCTTTAATCTTTTCATATCACAGTTAAAATCTGTATTTAACTGGCAGGGTGCTGCTTGCCATATAATTTGCATATAATTTGCATATAATTGCATATTATTTCATTGTGGGTTTTTTTAAGATTAATATATTTATACTTGACCAAAATTTGTTTTATGAATTTAATTTAATGAATAAAAGAACAGGGGTACAGTCAGAGGTGTGGGAGGGTGAGAGAATTCACCAGAGACAGAGAAGGGAGCAGAACAGGCAGACAGACTGAAGACACTGCTGAGGGAAGCAGCTGGATAGGCAGGAGAGGAGGAGAGGTCTTCTGCGCAATGTGGGTATCTCCCTGGATGGCCAGGAATTGAACCTGCGCTGCAGAGGCTGCGAACAGCTTGACAGTGCATCATTCAACCCGCTGTGCCACCGGGGAGGCCCTGTTTTTTTTTTTTTAAAGATTTATTTATTTATACAAGAACTGGGGTACAGACCAGAATAGATGCTATTTTTATATCCAAAGACTAGTCTTTTTTGAGTAGACATACCACGGATTACTTTGTTTTCAGCTAGGAGCTTGGTGACAGACCACATGAATTCTCTGTTGACTGCTAGGGTAGTTAAGATCTAGGAGAGCAAGAAAAAACCTTGGTGGTAGTATTTTGAGTGGCTGGTAAAGACCTGGTAAAATTTAGGATTCCTTTGTCAATTTTTTTACACATGAGAGACAAAACAAAGTTAAAATTGGTATGCCAATACATTTCCATTATATTTACTTGTGATTGATGGACTCTGACTCCTAGTGAACAGGTACCCCGTTACTGACCTTCTTCTCTAGTTCCATTTGTATTCCTTACTTTTTTGCTCTTACACAGAACTCTTATTTTAATCGTCTTGTTTATCAAGGACTTTGCTAGGTAACTGGCTTGATAATATCTGAAAATTTAATCCTAAGTATTAGTTGGCATTATTACCTTCTACAGGGATATTTAGATACTTAAGAGTTGTGTTTGATTTGAGGAGCTAAGATTGAGGAAGGTAATGTGAACACAAAGTAGAATATTTGAGAGGGAGGATAAAAAAGACATTTCTCATTAGTGTATATCATGAGAATATAGTATATAGAGAATATTATTATTCATGTTAAGGAATTGAAGGAAATGAAGTCTGATAGACAATGTAGAACCAACCTCAAATTCCAGGTTCCCCATTTTACTCTTGTTTCTCTAGGCATTACCATCTGTTGTTTCTTGAATATGCAAATAACATGAAATTAGTATTTTAAGATTATCCTGTGAATAATCTGTGGGTTCTTACATGAGACAGGTTTGGTCTATTCCAGGGAAGTACAATTAGATTTGACAAAATGGAAGATGGAGGGTATGCTAGGTGAACCTGGTCGATAGGTAATAGGTGGTAGTAGTCCACTAGAGTAATCAAAGTCAGGGGAGTGCAGAAGGATGTTTCTAAGAGGTGAAGCACAGGACAAGGCAAGCCTATGCCTGTCATTCCCAGGTGTACTTTTGGCCTATTGGGGGTAGGAAGAGGAGAGTGGAGTGGAGATAGGGCAAATGGTCTTAGCCCTAAAAATCCAGAGTACTGGATTGTTTATCAACCCTTATTTTCCTGTCCTC